CACTGCACTCCAGTCTGGGCGACAGTGAGACTCCAACTCAAAAAAAATAAAAAAATAAAAAACTTGCAGTTTGTTCACACCAGCATCACCACAAACACGTGAATAACACATTGTGCTCCAACATTAGATACCTACAACATTACGATGGCTATGGCATCACTAGTTAATGGGAATTTTTCAGCTCCATTATAGAGCCACTGCCGTATATCTGGTCATGGTACACCACATGACTATAAACAAGAAGCCCAGAAATACTTGATGTTAGGTCATTCAAGGAACCAGTAAGGGGAAAGAAAAAAAAAAACCCTGGTTCTCAAGAGTTGATCAAAACTCTAGTTTTTCCTTTGCTCTCTGTGGTTCTGAAAAGATTAGAGCTCTGGTAAAGATGATGGCCTTAATTTTGACCTCAGCTAAGCCTCTTCTGAGCACTGTCTTTCTGATTCTCAGAGAGCCCACTTTCCTTATATTAGAAAACAGTGTGCAAGTGTGCCTATATATGTATTTTACTTCAGTTATTTTCCTTTGGGATGCTGCGCTGAGAGGAAAGGGATGATTGTGTTGACATTCTTTGCTTCTAAAGCTTCTAATACTTAACAGTTTGCTATTTATGCTCTACCAGAACTGAATGTTATTTTTAGCACTCTGCACACATCATTCTGTACGCTCTTTATGACTTCAGTTTCCCCCAACTACATCTCCTCACCTTAAAAAAAAAGAAAGCATTCATGGTTTATCTTTGAGACTTCATCTTTCAGGAAGATGGGGGGGATTATTTGATCCCAGGAGTTTAAGACCAATCTAGGCAACATAGCGAGACCTCGTCTCTACAAAAATAAAAAAACTTAACAGGGTGCGGTGGTGTGTTCCTGTAGTACCAGCTACTCAGGAGGCTGAGGTAGAAAGTTCACCTGAGTCCAGGAGGTGGAAACTGCAGTGAGCCATGATCATGCTACTGCACTCCAGCCTGTGGAAATGAGTGAGATCCTGACTCAAAAAAAAAAAAAGAAATTATGGGCCCTAAAAACTTAAGGATGACTTATCTTCCTCAGTTGTATGTCTCTGTAGTCCAGTTAGATAAAAAAAGAAAAAAATGTTTCTTTTCCTAGGCTAGATTAGAGCCATAAGAAGAGAAATATTTCATCTCTAGTTATAGACTGAACTCTTCCTAAAGCTAAAATGACCTGAATGTTGATTTCTATACACAGGG